ATTTCAGGTTTTTTATTGATATAAAAATAAATAATGTTTTCAAGTTTAAAATAATTTAAATCACCATTTAACTTATTAAACCGACAGATAGAAAAATGGGATTTTTACTTGATCTGTATGGTTTCAATATCATTGCCATGATACACTTGTTCCCATAAGGAACTCAATACTTCGTTGATTTCTTCCATCTTTTGAGTATGGAATTTCACAACAGATTCATCCACTGCTCGTATATAATTTGCTAAATCCTACAAATAAATCGAATAAATTGACTGAAGAATTCTAAATAGTGTACGCTTATTAAATTGCGGAGAAAAAGTGAAAAACCTCTATAAATCTTTTGATAACACATTTCTTCACAACTTCTTTCTTGAATTCTTCTTTGAACTGCGCATACTCAGACGATGCCAAGGTTTTTTCCATAGTCGCTAGTCGTTTCTTCTGTTCATTTAGTTCACCTGAAATACAAAACTACCACAACCAATTACGGAAACAAAAACATTTAAGTAAAGACTAATAAGTATCGTCCATCGATTTAACCTAGGTCAGCAAGGTTCGCAAATAGTTCAACACACTACATCTCAACATTCTCATTCTAAGTAATATTCACAAAGCTGTATTAATAATTTTAGCACCTCTTTTATTCTCTATCGTCAATTGTAAATCATTGACTTGGTCCAAAAGTGAACTTAGTTCTTTTCGCAGCTCTGGGATTGCTGTACTATACCATTCTGTTTCTTTCAAACTTTCATTTAAACTTTTGATTCGTTCTCGTAATTCCAACTTCCGAAGTTGATCATCCAATCGACGTTTACGCTCTTGCTAAAAAAACAGTATTGCAATTTTAAAAAATCTAGTAGAAAAAACTATACATATTTTTATTGGATTTCAAACTGAATATTAATTTCAAGCTTGCACTAGAATTCAAATATAAAATCCATACTTTTGAATTTAAACAGTCAATTTGTTCGGTCAAATTGCGCATTTTAGCACTGCTTATACCAATTTCTGTATCTATTTTTAATAACTCGTTTTCGCGATCTTTTAAATCATCCGAACTGTCAGCAACATCTTGTAGTTTCTTATTTATCGCTTCTGAAAATTTAAGAACGGTCGAAAATATTATAAAGCTAATAGGTAAGCAAGAAGTAACAAAACTTCTGTATTTCTCATTCTATGCAACAATTACCTATTTCCCTTGTAGCGTCTTCTGCATCCCGCAATGAGCATAACAATTCTGCTTCCTTATTTTTTTTCTCATTTTGTATAACAAATCGCTCCTTTTTCTTCATCTATAATGAAAAAATAGTGAATTGTGAATCAATACATTAATCCTTCGAATCGTTATCAGAAATCCTCATGCACAAATATATAAATCTATATTGTGCTCCTTTCAATTTTTACGATATGGTATTTATCTGCTTTGCAATCTGCACAAAACTGAATTAAAAAAGCAAAAACTTTAACGGTACTTGCAGTTCCTCTTCAACAATTAATTTTTGTGTCTTCAGCTTTTGCAAATCTTGTTTACTTTCTTCCAGTTCCTTCTCTTTAACGTCCAGTACTTTTTTTATTGAGTCAAACTGCACTACTTTTCCACACAAAGAAGTACGAAGTTCTTTCGATGCATTCAACTGAAATAAGTCCATTAAAAACAACTATCAAAGCAGTGGTAATAATTTTAATATTTATTAATTCTTAACATAGAAAAGTACTATCATCGTTTTCTGAAATACCACAACTTTTAACCTATTTTAACAAAGCAAAAGAAAGCATCAAATAAGACTAAAAATTGACCTTTTCAACATGTTTATTTCTTTTAGAAGCTGCTACCTGAATCATGTCGAGTTTATTAATCAATTCTATGAACTTTTCCTGGAAATAAACAAGTTAAAATTGTTGCAAAAAGAAAAAAAAACGTATTAGCCTCGAAAAATACGTATTTCAAGCATCTCGTTTTTTTTATTTCAGTTTGTATATCACTCAGTGATCAATTTTTACAAAAATGATTCCAATTAAAATTAGAAAAATAATGTACTAGCTCTGAAAAACGCATAATTCAACTACCTCGTTCTCTCTTATTTCGATTCGTATATCACTCAATGACCGTTTTGTACATTCAGCAGTATCAAGTTCTGCTTTTAACAATTTTGTACAGTGCTTCACATCTGATAATGATTTCCAAATGTTATCCATCAAAGAAGCATCAACCTGAAAAAACTTTAAACTAAACAGAACAACACTTCAATAAATATTTCATAACCCATGACAAAATTATATCCGTTTCATACTGAACGTTTTTATAACATGATATTCACTTCCAACCATACGTAATGGATTCAATCGTTAGGTCAACAGAAGAAAAATCAAAGAAAATACAGTAATACCTGAACATCGCGAACTACATTCAGCTTTTGTAAAATGATATCTCTTTCAGATTTTGACTTCGTAAATTCCATTTCCACAACATGCAATTTTTCCTAAATATAATATTGTAAGTGTAAAAATGTACATAAAAATTAGAAAAGATAATAGTTGAAAAAAGTCTATATAATAAGAAGGTTCACAAACAATAAAACAGTATACCTCTGCTCTTTTCAAATTTTCCTGCAATACTTCTTTCTGGCTATTTGATTGTTTCAACATTTCTACATAAGGCATAATTTCCACAAGTTCATTCTGCATTGCTTCGTAATCTTTCACTTTACGAAGTAATTTTTCGGCATCTTTAGTGAAATCTTTCCTTTTCTGCTTTAGCTGAAATTTGATTTAAAATTATGCATTGCGATATTAAACAGCGTATAAATTTTCAAATGAAAATAATTCCATAGCCTCCTACATCCACAACATTTCAAATTTTAATTCCATGGTTCCAACCACCTTATTTGAGTTGTGAATTATACAGAATTTATACGCTTTTTTGTCACAACCTTTTCTTTAAGAACATCAGAATCCTCTGTATTGTTATATGATTGCTCACAAAGCGGACAACACTTTCTCACGTTGATTTCTTCCTCCCATTGTTCATATAAAAACGTACAGCCATCAATACGTCCTGAATCTTGCCGCGATTTCCTAAGAAGTGTTCTGATTTCATCCAAACGTGTTTCCACCTCATTTTCATGTGTAACAACCTACAAAATTTACGTCATCAGTATATTTACTTAAGTTCATAGAAACTAATAAATCATCAAAGTTAAATGGCAAATCCATTTTTGTTCTTCCTAGTTTCCGCCAAAATGGAGATATTAAAAACGGCGAAAACGATGAAGCCAGTAGCTTAAAAAAGCATGTCACATTTGTTTAAGAAAACAACCTTTGTTATTTTTCGTCTATAAGATGCAATCTGATCGGCCAGTTGGTCCACTTCTCGACCAATCTGTGATACAGTAAACTGAGCTCGGGACACTTCCTTCTCACGAATTTTAAATTCATCTTCAGCTGTTGACAAACTCTGTTCTGCTTTTCGAACACATATGATGAGTCGCTCGCTATAAATAAAATTTGAAAGACTGTACACACTGTTGGAATATATGTGAAACAAATCATAATTATTAAATTTTCAAAGAATAACAGAATAACTGATGCTGAAGCTAAGGTATATCTTGAATGCAGTAGTAAACATGCAAAGTGTTGCTAGTATCAACACCGACAAATGCAAGAGAAGTTTTGCCATTCTTATTCACAATGCATGACTTTTAACAAACTGTATTCATAATATTGAAAGAGCTAAAAACTAACCTCAGAGGGAATTCAGGTTCCTTGGTACTAAATATATCTAAAAAAGCAATTTGATGCTTATCCTTCAGCGCGCAGAGTTCTTTTTCGAATTTCAGCAATTCATCACTTTTCTGTTTGATTTTATTTTCAATTTCTTCAGCATTTTCTCTTATACAGTATTCTTTTTTGAGCAGTTCTATCTGAAAATGTACTTTTACATTTGAATTTAGCATTGTTCGAAGTTAAATATAACAAAAATAAAATGAACTGAAACTAAAGATATTATAAGAAATGACCCTACTGGATTTCAATAGACATCACAAAAGTAAAACAATAAAAGTTAATTTACTTTGTTTGCAATTCCATCTCTTTTATTTTTTAAATCCTCAACATTATTCCCCAGTTCCTCATTTTCTTGCATTATCTCTAGTTCTTTTTCTTGTTGCAATATTTCATCTTGCAAACGATCAAGCCTGAATAGTTCTCATTTTTGTTCAAATCTGAATCATGTCAATATTTTCTATCATGCAACAATCATTGGTAATAACTATTGCATGATGGAAAATATTTCCAGATGTTGATCAATCTTTGTGCTTTACAATAAGGCAACAACTGCGAAAGATAGAAAAACTCTTTTGTATTATAGCAAGATGTACAACATTTAAGAGATTAACTAGCATCAACGGTAAATGTAACTGATAATATATTTACTTCTCGGATGAATTGGCTGCTTCCATTAAACTACACTTCACTGCAGCAATATCTTCTTCGAGTCGTTTACTTTCCTCATTCCTTAATTCTATTTTTGCTGTAACTTGAGCTAAAATTTCCGAAATCCTATCAATCTCTTCCTGGCAATTCGCTTGCTTTCCTACCACTTTATTCTGCAATAAAAAATAGCTCGATGAAAAGTTTATGCAAATAATTAAAAAAGTAGCCTGAAGCAAAACTAATACAAACAGCATAACAAAAAAGTGTGTGAAAACTGTGGAAATATTAGATTTTTAAATGTAAATGTTGCTAGACAAAAAGAAAAAGTTACCGTAAAATTGCTGATATCTTCCTTCCGTTTTTCAATCAAATGATGCAATTGCTTCAAAGTTTTCGTTTGTTCATCTGAAGACAACATGATTTTTCCTAAATATTGCAGAAAACAGCTAAAGGCTCAGGTAGGATTCAACCACAGATCAAAAATTCTTACTTTTTAAATTGAATCGTGAGCAGCATGCTTCCAAACATTGCTCCCTTTCCGCAATCATTTTGTCACGCATCTACAATGATGAAAATGAAGAATCTAAATACAATTTTAGCAACAATATAATAATTCTGTGTTTTCTAAATCACCAAATATAAACCTTTATGAAGAACTTTTTAATCCAAATATCACAGTAAAAAATGCACCATTTGAATACTTTTCAGCTGCACAATTATTTTGTCGACTTCTTTTTTCTTTAATATATAATCTTTAATTTCTGCATTAATTTCCTCAAGTTCAGCATTAATACGCTTACGACTTCGTTCCATGTCTTTAAATTCGTCAGAATGAGCGATCTGCAACAAAAATATCACACCAAAAATTTCAGGATTATAAAATGATAATAACAAACAAATATTTTTAAAATCATTCTTTGATTAGCTGTTCCATATGTTAGACCATTCTGTCAATATAGATTACACTCATTAATCGATGCTTAATTTAACATTGATTAATGAGTATAACCTATACCGATTAAAAATAAGAATTTTGTCTCGAAAACGAGCCTGCACTGTGATTCATCTAATAAGACTAGTGGATGTTATACACTTGCAAATTGCGCTCTAACTAAAACAAAATAAAGCAAAACATTACATACCGACTCAATTTCACGTTTTAAATTCTCAATTCCTCCTTCATAATCCAGTGCCGAACAGCATTCAATCTGATCAACAAGTACTTGCTTTTCCGCTTCCATCATATCTTAATTAGGGTTCCAGTAAAGCTCAGATAAGTAAGTTTAAAACTTAATGGTCAACAAGGGTTACCGTGCTTCTTCTTTATCATTTCCGCTTCATCAAGTTCTGCAACTTTAAAATTTTTCTTAGCCGTATCTTCCTTGAGCGTCGTTTGCTTCAGCGAAATTTCTTTCTCATTTTCTGCTATTTGCTTCTTCAGATTGATGTATTCGTTATGCAGCTATAATTATATAATAAGCAAATTTAACAATGGGTACTCGATAACTGGTAAAAAAATTTCGTCCAGAAGCAGTAATATTTATAAAAAAAATTAGCAGACAAATACGAACTTCGATCTTTTCTTCCTGCTGTCTGATGAGAAGTGGTAACCTTCCTTCCGTGATTTTCAATTCCTGTTGCTGCAAAATTTTTTCCGACATAACCGAATAAATTGAAATTTGATGTTAGAAACTTGACAGGATAAAAAAATAAATAAAAGAAGAAACATTTTCTTTCATTTCCTTTTTCAGGACTTCAATTGCTTTCACATAACCAGTCAATTGAAAAATCTCGTCAAAGCGTTCTTTCAGTTTTTTCGGTTCATCAAGCGGCCTGAAGTGAAAAAAGAAACAAGAGTCTCATAAAACCCGTCAGCTTCGATGCAGTTATATTTCGGTCAATTTTGATCCAGTTTCGCCTTTTCATAACAATGAGAAATTGCAGATAGTAACTGATAAAAACAGTTATGTAAACTAAAATATTAAGGACAGAAATGAAGTACTGAACGAACCATGAGGATTCTTCCTGGTGACAAAAAACCACATACTCCAAAATTGCTGTGGATAAGCCAAAAAGATTTAAAATCTGTAACAATTTTTTAAAATGCGATGAATTGCATGCACAGTAATAACAACAATACACTGAATTTAAAGAACAGGTGCAACATTGCAGTCAAAATTAAAAGTGATACCTCTTTCCTACAGTCAACGACTTTTGATGACAAACTTTTCCATTCACCAGGCTCTTTTTCGATTGCAATCGTGCTCTCTTCTGACTTATTTGTTATTTTACCCTGCAAGCTAAGCTTCTGCTGATAGAAGTAGATTTAAACCAACATAAAATAAACTTTTGAAACTGAATGCTTTACCTTAGCACCTTTTGACTGCATTATACGACGAGTAACAACACAAGATCTGCCTCTAATATCTCTGAATTTGAGCTTCACTGATGCATCCACCCGAGATCTACCAGCTAACTGCAAATGAATACTAATGACCAATTCAAAAATGCCGACAATTTTGAAAATATTATTATAAAAAGATATACATATTCAAAAGCAAGTTTCTGTTTTATTTATTGTAAATTAAGTTTCAATACAGATTATTATGACCGTTGAAATATGAATAAAAAATATTTCTCAAAGTTTCAAAGTGTCACAATACAACAGATTAAATCTTGAGAATTTAGATATCGAATATGATACGTATTTACTGACAAAAAATTAAAATAAAGAAAATAAAATGAGAAGCAACAATGAAAAGTAAGATGAAAATCATGCGCGAACTTACTCGCATATCGTGGATAAATGTTTGGAAGCTTCCCTTCGGCAACTCGCCAGTTGTGGCATATTTAAGTGCTTCAATAATTGTTGTCTTTCCAGCACCATTTGGCCCACATATAATAGTTAACGGCGAGAGAAATTCGATGACATTAGCATTCTGAGGTCCCACTCCGACACTGCGGATACCCTGTAGTTCCACTGTATCCAGCAATGACATCCTCTCCAACGCTTCAGTTTCTCTCATTAAAACATGTGTAAAATTCAAAAAAGACGTGAAATCATGTTTTTCATTCATACTTTTACTGAATTTCAAAGGTAAATATACAGCAGGTCATGTTGTCACGTTTCAAAGGCATTTTTAAATCACCTGCTTCATCATCTTAATTTTTCTATTGCTCTATAATTTTTTAATGGAATTCGTAATGTTTCTATTGCATAATCTATCAAATGTATTGCATGCATTCTACATAATTCCATGTATACTGCATATACCTAAGCAAGCTTGCCTGGAATTTCGTGTCGCAGGAAGGAAGTATTTCCCTCTGTCCTACATCTCTACAATCCCCGCATACTCAAGACTAACTCCACGCACTCGACCAACACTATCTGCTAACTGACCAACACCATTTTTTTTAGTAAGCAACGTGCTAACCGCGAAATACCCTCCACTCGTCTGTGCATGAGTGTGTGTGTATGTGAGGAATGGGCAAAGTGAAAGCATTAGGGGTACTGTACCTCTGGCAGTGGTACTGTAGTTAGGGCAATTACGGTCTGTTCATGCGCAGTTTTATGTGGCGGTGTTTTCTCGATTGAGAAATTTATCAGTGACTTATCATTTAAAAAAAAAAAGAGCGTTGCGAGGAGACATTTTGGATATCTGATTCGCGACTTCCGAATAATTATATTCAATGGCGTACTCTACAAAAAATTTTTTTCATTTCGCCTTACTTTTCATTAAATTCCCACTATATTATTTAAAATGAAGTTGCAAATTAGATATTGGACAGGACAGAGAGTGATGATCGGGCTGATTATGATTGGCAGCATGACCATCTGGGAAAAAAGGTAATAATTAAAATAAAGGGAAGTAAGTTCTGAACTTACAAAAAAATGTGATTGTTTCGACATTAACGATAATATCACTAAAAGCCAAAGATTTTAGTCGGATACTTCAAATGGGACACTTCAGAGCAAGCACAACTATGAATTTTAGCAAAATAAAAAACAATCCGTTTGAAAGATTCAGAAAAATGTAAGACATTCGTGCTATTTGTTTTTGTTAAAACAATTGTAGAAGAAAAAAGTCATTCTATCAAATTTTTGAGGGATCACGCATATGAAATTCCTCCTTCTCCTTTGTTGGCATTATTTTAGTGCATCTACAAATAATTATTTCAGCCATTCAATTAAAAAACAGGGAGGAATCAGGAAATATTTGTCGGAACGGTGTCTTTATGGACTTTTTCTATCAGATATATTAAAAACACGCGGTTGACATAAGTTTAAATTCTACGATCAGTTAAATTCGGTCCGATGGCTCACTTCACTTATTGATTTACATCTTAACACCTAGCATTTTTGTCTAATTATTTTTGCTTTTCGAAGCAGCACATTAAATATCTCCGAAATATCTTCCAAATTCTCCTTTTAACCAACTTATATCACCACCCTTCCCACATTTATCACTTCGTTTGTAACTTGCTTTGCCGGGAAAATTGCATTTGTAATGAAGTCATTGGCAATAATATGTGTTAAGGAATTGGTTTTTCGACCAGAACTAGTACAAATTAGATTCCAAGAAATCTCCAATTCTTAGAAAATACTTTGCCGGATGTCCTAACTTACAATACCGAATGAGGAAATTTAATAGAAAATATTAAATGTATTGCGAAATTTGATTCCAGTTATAATCTTACCTACCAAGCATTTACGAACATACTTGAAGTAAGTTATATATTTCTACCGACCTGAAAAACTCCAAGAGTTCCAAGTAAGCCACAACAATTTCAAGAGGGAAAACTGACCAATGATATCGCCTATAGCGTTTAAAGTGACGTGTACTATATTTCCTGTCGTTTTTGAAATTTTTTCATTTAAAATGGAACAGTCCCCAGACTGTTCCTCTATAAGGGTAGACCAACAAACTATTTATATATGGTTGATAAGCAGAATAAATTACTGGTTTCAGGCACTGCAAAACAAATACATTCAGTGTTATAAAATTTTTCAAGAAAATGAAAGATGAAATATAGCATAAATCGCATAATTCCTCTTTATTAACACTTAATAAAATTTTGGGCACTTCTCTTCAAATAATAACAAATGAGCATATAAAAAGGTCACCAAATTAAGTAAGTTAAGCATCATTAATTAAAACTGTGTACATAATTATGAATTTCGTATCGAAAGCTTCCAAATTAATTTCTGGCACCGGATATATTCAGCCAAATGACACGTGAGCTGAAGAAATTGACATTCATTGCTAAATACTTCTGTTAAATTTATTCTTGGAGAATAGAGCAGAAATTTCAGCCTAAAAAGCGCATATATCGCTTTTAGAGCTCATGTGGAAACTATTATTTATAACATGCTGAAAAAAAAAGTAAAACAGTGACCTGGTCAATATTCCTTGCAGGCATTGAAAAAGTCAATCTTTCTCGAGCCGTTTCTTCAGGATGAGCTTGAGGTGGGAGTACTCTCTCAATTGTGAGCATAAAATCGTTGTGGTAACCACCGAATGAAACTAATCGATGGTAAGGAATACTTCTTATGAGATCCTGTAAATTTACAGGTACAATGCAAACTATTTCATGTATGAATATTGCACTTGCATATAGTGATGAAATAAATGTAGCCAATATTTCTTGAATTCCAGAAACTGATATATTCTAAGACAGCAAATATAACTATCGCTATCGCAAAATCTTTTCTGGCGCTTAATGAATCGATTTCTGAACATCACTACACATGAAGATATTCTACACATTATAAATTTAACAATTTAATCTCATATTTTAGCAACAGATACATATAAATAAATACTAACAAGCTGACGAAAAGTTAGCAAATGGACGCCTTGATCATTGAGTGCAATGAACAAACTTTCGTCGTTACGCATCTTCATTCGTGCTTCCATAATAAATGACCCAAAAAAGCGCCATTTCCGCAAAACAACTAGTATCATGCGAATGCAATCTTCTGCCGAAGTATCACGCAACTGTGACCAATTTGTTTCGAGATTTAATCTGAAGTCCATGATTGTATAAAGTGAGTAAAATATTATTTGTAAGTTCTTATTCTAATCTAAACTGATATTTAAAAAGCAAAGAATAAATTTTGAAATCAAACTCAAACAGGCTGAAAATATAATTTAATCTAACCTTAATAGTCTTTCACAGCCAACATCAAGCAGTTTTGAAGGATAATAAGAAGTTATAATTTCACGAAACTGTGCATCGGATATCGTTCCCATGTCTCCAAACTTGAGCTGAAGTGTGTGCCATCATCAGAGCCAAATTACTTCAAATTTGTGCAGATATATAGTAATATATCTGCACAAAAAATAAAAATAATTTACTTGCGCATAAACGGCTGCTAGTTCCTCAGCTAATTCACTGCTCAACGGTACTCTTCCTGCAACAATTTCGCTAGCCATCCAATGCGCCAGAAATGTACGTTCTGTAGGTGTTTCCGAAGAGAGCAGATGACTCCAATACTGTCTCTGTCGAATAGATAATTTTATCCGAGCAACATCTTCAGTGACTCGTCCACATTTATTGTCCATTAATTCACGTTCCCAACGTGATATACAGTCACACAACTGAAAAATAAGTCAGTTTCTCAGCAACGTTGTAAGTACTATTATTTCGGAAAACACGGTAAAATATTTCAAGAGAATCAAAAAGTTACGATTATAAAACCATAGACTCAACGACTATAAAACCATAGCACATTCGAATTTACCTTCTGTTTGCCTTTTAGAAGAAGATAAGAATTCCGTTCTAGCGGATCCTCTACGTACAAAGCATAACCGCTCAAAAGCGCTGGTCGTAAACCACATTTCATGCATAAAGTTGACAAACAATCACTAATAAGCGTGGAACCATCAAAATCGATAACCTTAAGAGCTTTTTATGTAACTATCTTTAAATATTTCATCAATTCATTAATGATCAATATAAATAACGAGCAAACATTGGTTCTTGAAAAGTAAAAGAATACTACGCATCACAAAGATTCAGTAACGCGTAATAAAAGATCTTAATGCATTCATAACCATCACAAAATGAATAAATATCTTCTTACCTGATATTCATTAGTTGGTAGCAGTACTGGAATGCTATGCGGCATATTCGTCGAAGTTGGATCCCTAGTTAATATGGAGATTGCTTCAAGTTTACTTGGTCCCTCTGTTCGTCCACGTGCTTTCAGACAACGATTGAAAGCACGCAAGCAATACAATGCAAAATTGCCTTCATCACATCTAAAAAAATAATTGGATATACTATAAGCGCATAATGTTGCAGAAAAATATAAATCGCTACAAATATGAATCATAATGCCGCAATTAATTATAATTTCGTCTTTAATTGAAAATTTAGTAATAAGTAGAAGTGCAATCATACTTTAAAATAGAAATAAAAAATCAAAACCTTTTTCCACTCCATCTTTCAATATGTCGACGAAGCAACCACAAAAGCGAATACTGCCGAGGTGTAAATAATGGTGTCGCTAAAGCCATTAATTTCCAAGCCTAAAAATAACTGAAATCTTCATAAAATTGAGGCTATTACTGTTATGGATAGATATAAGATCCAAATCAAACATTTCCAATTTGAACATAGAATAGTACCCTTAAATTATCAACACAAAAATTTATGTATGAAATAAATCTCTGCTGAATGGCAATATTAAAACTGCTTAGTAAGGTTTTGATATCAATGATAACAAGTAATTCTTTTCTGATTAAAAACAAAATCAACAGAGTGAAAATAAAGAAATATGTACCTGAATTCCATACGACATTGAACCAGATGTAAGCTTTATCAAGTTAGCATAAAGCTCATTTTTGAGCAAATCACTGGACATCGCCGTAGTAAGAATATTTTGGGCAAGATCAATATGGTACTGCACTCCTGTTGGTCTCATCAGCACCGAAGTAAACATAAAACATACTCGACCAAGTTCCAATGCTTTCTTTTTGAGTGTTTCATCTAACACTGTTGTTAAAGTTTCTTTCGGCTTTTCTTCACATGCCGTCAATAGTACATCATTCCATAGTAAATCCTCTGCAATGGAAAAATATAATAAAAGAAAAGTTGCAATGTTATCCTTTCTGATAAAAAGCAAAGCTAATTAAAAGATACTAAAATTCCTTCCTTACTCCAATGATGCAGCGAAAAAATTGAAAATTTACATCAAATTAAAAACTTTACGAAACAAAAAAAAACTAGAGAAAACTAAAACTTCACATTCTCATGCAAAAAGTAAATAAAAATAATGAAAAGTAAATCCAATTCCCCTTCCGTAGCAAATAAATTAAAAATTTCCAACTAACTGTGGAAGGAAAAAGAAGTAAACTATTTTTCCAGTTACAAAAGCACATAAAAAACTTTTGCTCAAATCTTCATTATCGAAAAGAATTTTACATAAATTGATTATTCCAAAAAGGATATCATATAATTTAGGTAAAAATACTTCAGTAAAAAGTACTTTTACCATCTTCAACATTTTGCGTCATCATTCTTTGTATTAGTACTTCGAAAGCAGTTCCACTGAATACTGCATCATTAGCAGCCTTTTTCAAAAAATAGACCCATTTATCTTTTTCTTCAGCACTTCGCAAAACAATGTAAACTGGGTCAACGTTTGCAATCTAAATTCGTAATACAGAAAGTGCGTGCAGGAATAGATACAGCAGGTATAAACTCCAAAAATCTCGCAAATTATTTCAGTGGAATCAAAAAGAATCGAAAATGTTAATTGTGATAATAAAGACCTCGATCGAAATAGTGTGATCAAACTCTTTCGCATGATTTTCATTTTGTTCATCAGAACTTCCACTCGATTCATCAGCAGCAGTTTTTATTTTCTCGCAGATATGTGCACCTCGTAGGTACATATGGGAACATGGAACCTGAAGATGTGATAACAACGTTCTTTATTAAAACTGTGATAAATGTACATTGTTTGCATCATACTAATCAAATAACAAATGAAACTTGAAGCAAATAACCACAAAGAACACTAACCCGATCATCAGAACTCTTGAAAAACAACAATTTATTATCTACTACAGATGCGAAAAAACGCCTTGTACTGCCGCATTTTGCCTGAAATTAGTTGTATTGTGATTTCCTTTATCCATAAAAAACACAGAAAAATATCTTTGTTACATTTGATTTAAAAAAGTGTTAGCCACTTGCTAATGAAAGTGACGTTGTTAATCCAAGCAATTCATCACCTGATAAAACTGCTAATCATTATTAAAAATATCTCATTATAAATATCAAAATATTGCATAACCTTGATGACATAGCCGCTAATATCAGCATTAAGTCCCGTAGCACGCTGACTAACTTCTGAAATAGTGGCTGTACGTAGACTACGTGTCAGAAGAGCAATCCATTCATCAGTAGCACGATCTGATTCAGCTGCATAACAATATTCACCATTTGCTGTCATTATCTATAATTATTGTCTATAAAAGTAATCCCATCTCTCTTTCAAATAAACTGAAATTCATTTATTTCGCTCTATTTACTTTTTTCATTATGATGATAGGAAATAATAGAAAGGTATAAGAAATTAAGATTTAATAAAAAGAACCTGTAGACCGTAACCCATTTTGTTGACCAGTTTTGTGACAGAACGAATATCGGACACTAGAATTCTAATCAATGGTTCATCTCCTTTTAAATGATTTTTCTGAAAATTTGTTTTTGTAGATCCGAATATTGGAAAATAACAAATAAAAAGAGAGTATGTTCATTAATTTGAGTTTGAATTCAATAAAATGTTACTTTTCCGGTGTGATTGAAATTATAGAAATGAATTAGTAAAAAGAATGAAGGAAATCTGAAACAAACGATTCCATAATAACTAACTAACCTGTGTTCTATACAAAGTAAGAATGCCATTCCTGAATACAAAATAACGCCTTTTCAGCGACTTGAGTCTGCTGTCAGTCATCTGTGTCAAATAACCACATTTTTCTAGCTAAAACAATAATTATTTACCAGAAAGATTCAAAAACAAAAATTTCATCCAGAAAGCTGTGCGTTGCATATAATAAAAAAGCATTAAGTAACCTACGGGTTCAGTAGAACTGATCAGAGTTGCTCTAATATCCTGACTTGCATCTGGTGGTATCGCATAATCTCCTTCTTTGACATTCGTGAAATCGATGCGACTTTTATGCTGATTTGATGATCTTGAGCTTTCACCGGAACCACGCGAAGGAGAAGAGCACAAGTCACTTGTCTATAAGATATCCACTTTTATTTCAGTAGCTTGAAAACTAAAACATTGTGTCTATCAAGTAAATGAAAATTACTTTAGAAAAGAGTTGCTTACATTATCACTCATATTTCTATTCAAGGTACCACTGCATTGAGCCAACTGATCTTCATTTATCACTGTACTAAGGCAGCGTTCCGCTATCTGATATAATTTGGTCTCCTGCAAAATATTTGAATAAATACATTAGACTCAACTTCTACAGGATGATTAGGATACAATGATATTTTAAAATCACGGTAGATATAATTATCAACACTTACCCACTGACTTGGTGGCTTATGCAATGGTAAAGCAGGGGGATGCTGCGTCATTGTACTGTAAGTATCTGATCCCAGTAGAAAAAGTTCGTTTAGATTTACATAATCGGCAACATCTCTGAAAATTTTTAGATACAAAAAAGAACAAGAAGAAACAGAGCTGGCTAAAAATTTATCTCTGAAGTACATAATGCTCGTTATTCTCTGAAGCATTCATCTCTAAAGCATACAGCATACAATTAAAATCTCAAAAAGCTCTTTTTGTTCTGTCTGACATAGTATTTTCGTTGCGTGCTAATTATCGAAGTCAGAAAAAGGCCGATACAGCGTCAGTGCAGTCGGTCGATGGATTAAACGAAACGGTTTAACTGTTGATATTATGAATTCTTTTCCAAGAATCCAAGCATGTCACAAACTGTTGGAAGACGCAACATAGGACAATTAGAAGAGTGATCCTATTAGACTTCGATAAATGCTTATTTTTTTCTTTCTAAATTGTGACTGGAAAGTTTTTAAAAAGACCAGAACGAAAAAGATTTTAGAGAACTTCATATATTTTTCATTTGCGTTCGTCGTTTTCATAAAAAATCCATCAATAGAGAACATCAAGTCAAACGCTGAACAAAATATTTCAACATGCAGGATGCCCTCAGCTCATCTCAAGGAACAAGTTCTCATTATTTCAAGTTCAGAGGGTTTCAGTGGTGTTAATTTATTACAAAAGAAAAAAAATCATCGATTTCCCCAACTTTCTTGAATTATGAGTCATCCATTTTAAAAAACCTTCTTCGAATGCTATTTTTAAAAACAGTTAACCTAGAACCTAAAACTTCAAACTATAGCTAAAAATGTTATGAGAACTTAAATTCTCATCTTTTTGCGCCTTTCATATCTCTCCTTCTGCGCCATCTGCTAATCGACCTTCTTTTTCTTATTAACGGTCACTTTTTCCAGCAGATATGACATTTTATCTGCTCATTCAACAGTTGCTCTTCAAAAGTAACTTTGCTTAACGTATACGATAGTGCATAATTTTGATCAGATATTGATAATTTTGTCATCAGACCCGAAAAATAAATAGTCACGGAACAATTGAGAAAAATAACTGAAGGCATACTTTTCAGGAGACTCCGAATATTCAATTTCATCGAAAAATTCATCATCTTCCCTATAATCATTTTCCTCGTCATACGAATTCAAACTATCTCTTTCAATCTGAAATTTGAAATAACGACAATTTTGGTTTATACATTAAACTAATTGTTAATCGCAATTGCGAACTATCAAAGATCCATGTCATTTTATTCAGACTTCATCCTGAAGCCTAAGCCTACCCATTCTAATCAAGAAGCATTCAATAAATAATATTTCGTAAAATTGAAACAAATCTTATTTGTTCATTACTAATTTTATTTAAAAAGATACTTTAGCAAGCTTTTAAGAGTACACATTTTTGCAAAGAAAAGAGTAAAATCGAAAATTAGACTTCTCAGTTATATCACAAGTATTACTCAAACAAAGCTGGTACTTCACAAACGGCATTATTTTCAAAGCAAACTGACCAGTCATAATGACTATTTTTAAAATGGAAAGATATTTTATTCATAAAGTCCAAATGCTATGAAAAAAAGTTCGTATGCCCGCGATCAGACCTAATTAGACATCATTTCGTCACGAGCTAGTTGTATGAAATTTTACGATGTTTATCAATTCGGAAAGTGACTTCCAGACATTTTCAAGATATCACGAATGATAAAGGAATGATTACTATGCCGAATGAGAGAATACCAATATATCAATTAATAATAGTAAAAAGTAGTTGAAGTGTTTTAAAAAATTATGTGAAAGAAATTATTTCAAAAAAGGGAAATAATTAAGCATCTGACCATAATGATTGAATGAGGAAATGGAAGAGGTAGAAGTATGAAAGGACAAACGATAAACTGAAAATGTGCAAACCACGAGCACCGACATTTTATTTTGTCTGCCCACCTCTGAGCACATCACATACATCTCCAGAAATTAACACACAGCAAGCGATGAAACAGTGGCTCTAACAGTACGAGAAAAAAACCTTAGAAACTAGTTACCAAGCAAATAAATTTTCCCTCTTGACACAGCCTCCTTAACACACAACTGCTTTTGATTTTTGCTAAGGAGCTATTTAGACTACCAGGATATATAATACAACTCATCACATGTTATAATTTTATTTACAGCGTGACTTATAAATATATTTCTTATCAAATTCTCCTCTAATACAAACATTATTGTAAAGCAATATACTCATTTAAATTGAGTTCACTTGAACAGATTGGATAATTTTACTATAATTTAATTCTTTAAAACATTTAATATCAGCACTACTAAGCAAAAATTTCATTTGATTACCAATTATAAGAAGATGTAAGAAGGTGATAGGCAACCGGAAATTCTTTTAGAGATTTCAAAACAAGAAATGGAATTAATCATTACAGCATTTAATTTCGATACTCATTTCAGATTTCAGGCCGTGCTCAATTTCACGCAAATTTCTTTGATTTAAAGCTGTTGCTATTTCTCAACTTGGAAGCAATTAAAATGGCGCCCTTGAATTCATAAAATAGTAGAGATGAAAGACAAGTACATATAAACACTGTTTCAACATTTTTTGATGCCAGATAACAATAGAAAAATTTCTTTTCCTGTTGAAGAATTGTCCACTTTTTTTAAAAAGGTTTACTAGAAAACACTTCAAAAGCTTTGTTTATAATCACTTTTATTATTATGCAAATTAGCACTTCCTTTGGACGTCTAAAAATGTTTCACTTCTGCTGCTGTTAGTACGGTTGAAAATAAGCTGAATCAACATAATAAACCAAAATGATTTTCAAAAAGCATAATCAGCCTTTTACTTTAAAATTTTCGTTAGTTCAAATATAAAGGTTCAAAAATTTAAATCAAATTGATCAACTTACGGTAACTGAATCGGGTGGCCTTGAAGATTTTGTTTTTCGCGGAGTTGGTATTGGTTTTAATTTCTCTTCACGTGGTGAAGAATCGGTAGTTGATGATGTTTCATCATTCTGCTTTTCTCCTCTTCCTTGCGATGAGCTGTGCGTACGAACTGAAAAGAAAACTTCAAATCTTTGAGAGGAATTTATTCCGCTAACAAAGAATAAATAAAAAAAGCACAATGTGCTCAAGTTTTGAAGCTAGAAATGTGTGCAAGATCTTAATGGTAGTTAACACAGTTTCTTTTCCAAATTCAATCTTTTGTCACGTAAACATTAGCAGAGATTTCGAGGAAAAAAGTTTATCATTGTTTTATTTCAACTCCATTTTTTAAAAGAATTATTCAATTTGCAAGAAGAGGAAGCTAAATGCTTGTAAATCCTACACTAAAAATGCTGGCTAAATGGTAATGAGAATAATAATCTCAAACTAATAAGAGATCTCAATGTGTTTTCAAAAGTGATTTTGATATTTAGTTGATTTATTCAAATAAATTTTGAATGAAAATTATGCCTTCAATATCCCACCCTCAGAATTCTTGCAGATTCTTAGAGAAAATAGTGCAAGCATATCCAATTAACATATTTTAATTAGCTCACTAATAATTATGTGCATTGTATACTTTTGATTACAGAATACATTCAAAGAGTTAAAAATTCGGAACAGAAATGACTGAAAAAAAAGATCATTCGTGTAGAATGAAATTGAAAAAGTAAGTTTTCTAAATAGTCATAAGGAGGTTATCGAGCTATATTAGATAACTAGCCAGGCTTTTTAGGATGTCGCAGTGAATTGCCTTTACCGAGAGCAGAAGCTGATTGCGTCATCATCATCTGATCTATCTTTTTCTCCCATGTATCGTCAGAAGTCAAACCGCTATCATCTGATGTTCGATCCATCATCGTCAACGACACTGCTCCCTGTAAATCAAGAATCACAGAAAGTCAAGTACAAAACAACACAATCTCACGATATCACCATTAACGACAGTGAATGATAGACAATCCCGAAACGCTAATATCCATCCCGCATGTGCTTACTCTCAGTTATTCATCAATGTATTGCGGAAATCACTACCATGGTATTATTAATCTCATAAATTTTAATTTAAACAAGAAATGAAGTTTTAATTCAAGAGAAGAAGTAATTAAATCTTACCTAGAAAGAAAAAATGATATAACAATTATAAAGTAATTCGTTGAAAATTTTCAAACTAATTCAACCATTCATATTCAAAATTTTCATAAATCAAGTGCAGTGCAATAACCATACCGTTACAGAATTGGAAAAGAGAGCAGAACTTTGCCAATATTTTGCTCGATCAGCGCACGATTTTAGCACTTGTAGTTGAGCGGTACACTTCAGATTTTGTAATCGTAAACGTTCATTCTGTTCCTCTAACTGAAACTGTTATAATTAGCTTAATTCTATCGGAGAGCATTTCAATTCAAATCGTTCAAGCAAATTGATTTCCTACAATTTTACAAAGAATGGCGCAAAATGATCAGAATGATAAAATTAGTTTAAAGAGAGGAAGAGAGGGAGAGAAGGAGGAGGGAAGGAGAGAGAACCTCTCTCTCTCTCTCTCTCCTAAATTAACATACTGTAGGGGAGATGGAATTAATGAGGAAACGTAGTAGATGAGTATGTGTATTGCCTGAAAGTGGACAGGCGGAAATATCAGATAAGCAATTTCTCACCAAAAACTATTTGGAGGGGTGGCAGCAAGAGCCATACCGCAAGTGAACAGGCTTACACGGCAAACAGGAACACATCATTATGAATAAATGACAAATTCGGCCCTGACAGAAACTAATTTTCTCACTGTTTACTAGTTAGTAGCCAGTGATTATTGTTGACACATCAAATGGAGTCACAGTAAGTAAAATTTCAAAGTTTCATTAAACCTTTTAAATGCTTTTCTTAAATGTCACTAAAATGCTCTTTTTGTCATACAATTTTCTCGAATTATTAATAAATTTTATTCAATCCAAGTCAATATTTGAAGTAATTTAACAGTAGTGATGTAATATTATTTAATTGAAAAGCGAATTGAATATTTCAAGAAAAAGTATAAACGAAAGATAAAGGAATTTAAAATATTAAATGTGAAATTAAAAAAAGATAAGAAGAAACTTTCAAAAAATTTTAAAGCAGCAAAGTTAAAATTATAAATTTATGAAATTTTTGCTAACATAAAAAGGAGAATAACAAGCGTAACTGCAATTTACTCATTTGTATCGGCTAAAAATTGTCTACTCTCGTCTAGAATTAGCCCGGACGATGTTCATATTAGCCATTGGTGGCAGTAAGAGTCAGCTAGTGGGCGGTAAAAATCGAAGAATGAAAAAAAAAAGAAAAAAAGAAGAAATGAGAATTGATGAAGTGATAGCAACCTTGCTGCTACTGCTAATTCATCATTTCTTATTGATTGCATTCACCTTCCAACCACTTTGCTTTGTCTTTCTCTACCATCTCATTTGCATATTCTTCTTTTAAATTATTTTTATAATTCCAAATAAATAATTCAGAAAAGTTTGAGCTGAAAAAAAAAGACTTCACTCTTCTTTATTTCATATAAGGGAATGATGAAATATGAGCAGCTGGCAAATATTCACTTAACTAAAGCGGGAGCTAGGAGCTAAAATAAGGAATGACCGATGATATGTTAAACGAATAGTGCAAGATTGACTTGACGTTATAAGCAAATAAAGGAAAGGACACAAACACTTAACGTACTCTGCAGATGAAAAGATTGGAAAATAGTGGTCAAGAAAAAAATGAGAGAATTCTAATTGTGTCTGATGCCGAAGTTTCAAATCATGCTAGTAATTTCGAAAATAGAAAAATGGGTAACTGGGCTTTACCTTTGAATAATTTATTGATATATTAGATGCTTATCTTTCTATCAAAACATGCGCATCAGTCATGCGACTAAAATTTTGATGAAATTTGATAGCACTCGAAATTACTTATATGGAAAGCAACAAATAACGATCGCGTGGTACTTAAAACATGATTTTTCTCGTTCTAATATGTATTTCCTGCGAACTCCTTTCCTTGAAAATTTTCGATTGAGTTGACAAATAGAAAAAAACGAGAATAAATTTGACATGAAAATTAATTTGATTAGAAGTTGTAAAGTTAATAGTATGAAATTTGAAAAAAGATGCGTTTTTCGACATAATGAGGTGAAACTGCGAAAAGTTTCGTCATTATACTTGCGATGAGTATTATTTCACACACTGAAATTAATCAAAAATCCATAAAATGATCGGTAAAATTAGCTTGTCTGTAGCCACGGAACAGTGGTAATAATGATAGTCTCAAGCTAACTGAATGCAATTACATAGACTATAATGGACCCAAATTTGTGCCCATCCCTAACCCTGACATAACTGCTAATTACTTCAAATCTAATCATTTCCTGAAGTATAATTAGACTTGAAATAAGCTAAAAGATTCGCATTTGTGAGCAAAATTCTGTTCCACTGAATTTCGACAATAAATAACAAATTTGACGAAATCGTTAAAATTTTCGAACGAATTAAATCTCGGACAAAATTGCGACAAGTTTTTTTCTCTGAATTTAGTTATTTTACTACTGATAATAAATTTTTGGAAAATACTTTATTTCAAGAACACACACAATACGAGCCCCTATAACAAAAAACTAATTCTAAATGATAACTAAAAATGAAAATTCGAACTTGTTAGAAGTTTTCCCGTAATTAAAAATTACGCCTCTCCTTAAGATAATGGATCTAAAAATTAGTAAATATGAGAAGGAAAAAATACTTTTACTTTTACATTGACTAATTCTGGCCAATAAAACAAAAGAAAAGTGCAAAAGCTGAAATCAGAATGAAACTTTAGGATGGACAGAAGAGACAAAAGGAGCGTGACAGCTGGTAGTAACGAGTATGTTTGTGTGAAATTAGCTTCAAAATAGAGCAAGTCATATCAGTTATTTATCAAAATGCGCAAAAATGCATCATTGCCACTTGCCTGCTTTTCATTTCCATTCCAATCAACAACAATTATTCATTTATCATCACGTCTTGCAAAAAAAATTTCTTCCAGTACTGAAATTATTGCACAAATAGCGAGAAGAGAGGAAGAATTCACATAAAATCTAAATTTATTTATCAGATTGTCAAATCGATGCTATAATTCATCACAACAAAAAAAAAATGCTATTTAAGTAAGCAAAAATTTCTTGCCTTTATGCCAAAAATTTCGAAACAATTTGTACCTACTTTATATTTTTAAATCATTTCATATTTTTTTTACAAGCAAATCCCCTATATTTATATGCGAAAGAAAAAGACGACATTTCAATATCGTTGAAGTGAAGACAGATTTATGAATGTTCGGTTTTTGACACTTTCATATCTTAACAATTGGCACATTTTTAATACAAATAACTTTTATGCTTCCAATTTTTTTTTTATTTTTAACTCTCAAATTCATCTATTCAGTCCGCAATAAATGTCACATGAAATGAAATTGTTATGAAAAAGATTCCATTGAAAAATAGCAAAAATGATGCAAATTGGGAGAGATGAGTGAAATGAAATTAAGAAATATATTGAAAATTATGCTTTGATTTTAATTAATTTATGTGAATTCTTTGATTTAATTAATTGAAAATTAACAAAAAAAGATATTGTAATGAAAGGGAGAGAAAAGGGATGACGTATTTCTTCACAATAAATAAATGATTGATATTTTCACAGAACAGTAAAATAGTTCGATAAAATCCTAAATCATGAATTAAAGCAATTATAATGCAACGAATTTAAAGGAATTGTTTGGTAAAATTCCTGTAAGATGCGATCAGCTAAAGTTAAGATGATCGAAGTTTCTCATATTTCTGTATAATAAATTTTAATTTATTACTTCATATTTTTGTTCATTAAAAAGATTTTTTTTAGTTGGAGAAGTTTATTATATTTTTTAGAAGTTAGAGAACTGTACACGAAAAAATAGATCATATTTGAATGGCAGCAATAAAAATTTAAAACTGACATGAAATAATGTATAGGTTATTGTAATAATTCTGATACATTTCGTTCATTTCAAAATCCAATTTAAATTTCAATATCAGATAAATTTTCTCCTCTCAAATTCATGTAAGAGATGAAATAATAGTGTCACATATGCTGCTGCGAGCATAAGCATGTCAAGATTTGTCGTTTTCTTGTTTCCTTTGAGAATTAATCCTACTATAACTTCAAAATTAAAAATAAATTATGAATAACTTCAAAATTATGAAAATATTTAGCACAGAAATTTCAATGTGAGAATTTTCATTCGTAACAACAAATTGCAATAAATTGCAATTGAAACAAGTTTTGAGAAGTGCCCTTTAATCCTAATCCGTAAATTTTGCGATATGCCTTTTAATGCACATCAATGATCGTAGCACTTTTCGCTAAAAGTAGAAATTTTTTAAATTTCACAACAAAAAATGCTTCCGTAATTAACGAACACAGACGTTTACAAACAATTTTTTCTCATTACGTTAAGTTATTAGCTAATTCAATTCAATTCAATTCGTTATGCAAAAGATAAAACAGCGAATATATTTTATAAGAAGAGAAGGGTTCGATGAAGGACATTCACTCGCTGATTCTTCTGTCTTGATAAATTTAAGATCCTTTTTTCCAACTGATGAGAGAGAGGGAGAGAGAAAAAGGAAGAGAGAGGGTCATATTGGTCATAAGGGTGTCTCTCTTTCTTCTTTATTTTATCTTTTTGTCTCGCATATTTTTAGTCCAGAAAAAAAGAAAGCATTTTTTTTCCTTTTTTTTCTCTTGCTTATATAATTAGTTGTCCTCGGGTTGTTGAAGATAAGAAAAGATGATGGAAGGAAAAAAAAGAAAGAAAAAAGCATTCGGAAATTCTGAGGAAAGTTTTTTCCTAATCAATTTAACAAAATTTAAGATGTAAAATTTAGAAATGCTTGGGCAGAGAGTAAAGAAACATATATTAGTTAGTAATTAAAACGTTTCATATTTTAGGCAACATAAAGCTACAAATATAAACTATAACAATGTACAACTGTTTTTGATGTTTTTATTTTGTAACAATAATACTATTAATGATCACGAAAAAAATAAAGCCGAAAAAACGATTTTTCGAGAAAAATAATTACATCACTCCATCATTCCCATATTTTCGAGATTGAAAATCTTTAAAATCCAATTAAATTGCTGTACAAACATTTCTGGCCTTCAAAAATAGAATCTAACAAAAGAAAACCAATTGAATTTTATAATTTAGAATATGTTGTTTACCAAATGGTATACATGAACAATATTTTTTGAATAATATTCAATAGCAATATATTTCTTCATTTGCTTATATTATAGTATAGAGCGATGTTAAAGAAATAAAGTTGCTATAAGTCATGATTAGAATTAATATTGTATAAACAAATAGAGGGAAGATATGATAGATCGGACCAAAAATTTTTATTCATCCTTTTTTTCTTGTTCAAAATAGGAGGAAAAATGACAGTTGAAATTAAAATCTTTTGATAATGCGCACAGATTGAGGAACACATTAATTTCAACCCTGCTAGGAATGTTAAGCTAAAAAGATTCTTTCAGCTATCAAATAAAAGGCAATGTATGTGTAAAGTTTCTTTGATCGATTGAATCGATCAGTGCATCGAACCGTTTATGATCATCAAATGAATGATATAGAAATAATGAAATGAAAAGTTATGAAGAAATAAAAGGGGAAATCATTTTTGCTAGAAGATAATTTA